GGGTTATACTCGTTTGGGTAATATGGGTACCCGTTATACCCAATACACATCGTGGTCAAAAGATATATAGTAGGAGACTAATGCCGAATGAACTTGTGGGTTCATATTGTCCCACTAAGGCACTAATGCCGAATGAAATTATGCTCTGTGGACAGCAAGCTTAAGGGGACATCAACAAAAATTATGGAGACAACAACTTATGTTTATGGAGGTAATTACAGTACCTCAAATCTTGTTATTTTGTTGTTCAAACTCAAGTACAATAACTTTATTTTGTTTGATGAGCTTATGCCTTATGGGGAAGTATGTCAATTTGTTTCAAGTATAATTTTATTATATTTTGTTTCATGTATAATTTTGTAATTATTTCCATGTTAAACGGGTAGTTTGGGTACCCGTTAACCGTCTCGTACCCGTTACCTGTACGGGTTTAGGATATGGGATGAACTTTGGTTCTCAAATAGGATTGGGTACCCGTTTCAAACGGGACGGGTACCCAATCTCGTCCAGTTTCCCACCCCTATATGTAGTGTTGTTAAAAAACCAGAAATGGAGCGTGCTACCTCTCTCTAACTTTTTTCGTTCAAATTTTTCTCTGACCACTATCTAAAATTTTTTTCCTTTTCCTGGGTCCAATGGGGGCTGCCGCCGGCGCCTAGTTCTCCGGCGACCAGCGGTAGTTCTCCGCCCCCCCCCCCCCTTCTTTTTTTTCGTTCTTCGTGCTTTCTTATGTTCTAGTTTTCGCTTCCTCGGTTCTGCGTTCTCCAACTATTCCATGACTTTTGTTTCTTGCATGTTCATTTTCTCTGTCTGATTGCTTCCCTCCCCATCGATTGGGTTGAGTTTTTGCCCTGTGAAACTATCTAACCCGGCCGGGTACTACTTTTTCTAAAATGCCCTTGACAAATAAAATACTCAAATCTTAAATTTCAACGGGAAAAATTTTCATAAATAAAATACTGAAAACACACTTGTAGTTCAAAACAAAGCCCTAACACGTGGGCAAATTAAACTCAAACTTTAAATCTCAATCTGTTCTCCAGACTATACTCATAATCATAAAATGCAAATAATTAGGTAGTCTCTATCGTTGCTGCTACTGAAAATTTTAACTAGGCATCCTCCACGACGCTTGCACTGCCCTCCTCTAGCTGGTTGCTCTCGAACTTTTCCTCTCGAGCTCGCTGCTCTCTAACTGCTCCTCTAGCTAGCTGCTACCAATCTGGTTCTCGCTCATTCCCTTACTAAGGCCTGGTGAGTGAGTTGGGCTCAGTCTACGCCCTTACGTTTTAATAATTCTAATACCTGAGTACTTTACTTAAACACTTTACTTTGACTAGTGGAAGTTGTTTTGTACTTCCACTATTAAAAAGCTTAACTCTTAAAACTGTATGGGAGTTACTGTTACTCCACTCTTAAACCTCAAAGCTTGACTTAAATACTTGACCGACACGGGGATCCCTCACTAGCTAGTCCGGCTGTCAACTCATTCGTATGAGAAGCCATCTAGGCTTTCCTTAAACTGAATCCCCCTAACATCTTAAACTTATCGTGGTGGCTCTTCACCACGATTCTCAAGGGCATAACTGCTGCCCATCTTAAAAGTCTCAAGAGCATAACTGCTGCTCTATCTCAAACTGTCTCACAAGGCAACGGACTGGCGCTAGCGACTAAAAACACTTAAAATGACTTCACCTTCTTGAAGGTGAGTTACTTCTTAAAAAGAACTTGCTTCTTAACTTTAACATTAACTTATAAACTTAAAGCTTTAATTTAAGTAAGAACTCATGCACATTCACATTAAACATAGCTCAAACAAAATCACATATCATCAACCATAATCATACGCAAGCACACAATTTCACATAAAACAACTTCTTAAACACACAACCCAGATACTTGAAAAATACGTAAGGCGTAGAATTTACCCCCTTTAAACTCACCTTATTTCAATGCCGATTGACTTTCAAGTTCAGTTCTAAATCGATTATGTCCTCCTTGAGATGACGATTAAACCATTGCTATGGCTTGCTCTCCAATAGAGCGAAATAGAGAAATCCATTGCGGGATTGAACAGGTGAAAGACCCCAAAGATCAGTATGCACAAGGTCAAATGGAGTTGCATATTCAGTTTAGCTAGCAGAAAACGGGCGCTGGGAAGCTTTGGCTTCCACACAATGGTGAATGGTTCATTTCTAATTTTGGGAAACCTAGTAGTGATGAAAATAATTAATAGAAAGAATACTGGTCTTTCCTTTCCAAAAGAAAGAGTTGTCAAAAATAATTGAACGTCACACTTCTGAACAGTGTTGTAATTCAAGTGCTGCAAGAGATTTATTTTCCCATAACATAATGATAATTCAACGAAAAATAAAATATTTTTTTCCAGCATCATAATATAAAGTAAATACTTCTTAAACCTTCTTTTTTATTATTATTATTAGTAGTAGTAATAGTCTACTACTTTAACATTCTGATTCATTTGATCTCATCCTGATCGTAGATACTTCATACTAGTGTATCAGTTTGATTGACTATAAGTGAAAAGCCACATCCACTCCTTTACTTTCATAATGGTTTGTATTGTTTGTCGGTATAGTTTGTATGTTTGTGTATTTCGTATGGTTTGTATTGTTTGTAAATATGTGTATGTTTTGTCATTCTAGTTTGTATTGTTTGTATGGTTTGTACTATTAATAAGTCTGGTTTGTTACTTCAGAAATTTTCATAATACCCAAGTTACCCCTATCACTAACTAAAAAGCCCTTCTTATTTTTTAACCGACAGATTGGTGTACCTAGATCTAAGGGTTGGAAGGGGTTTAGTCAAGCTACTAGGCACTCCCTTAGTCACATAATCCGCCCTCCAGTGGTGAAGGGTTCATTTTTTTTTAATAATACCTCTGTTATTTTATTAATGATGTGGAATCAACATATCGCCTTCTTCTCTAAGAAGGGATGCTAAGGTATCGTTTACCTGTAGGATTTGAATGATGGATTTGGCACCCAAATACCAAGCATCAAGGACTTGACACAAATCCATTGTTTGCTAAGTGACACAATCAATGGGGCTCACAGATTTGGACCCTTTATTTAGATCCAAATCCGTGAACCCCACAAATTTACAAATCCCATATTTCATTTGGGATTTTATAATAGAAGGCAAAGTTGTGAGACAAATCCATCATAAATCCATGATAAAAGTTAACTAAACAAATAATGTACTCTTTCAAATCCGTAATACAACAAATTCATCATAAATCCAAAGATTTTTATAACCCAAAATACTGATTTTCAAATCCAACAAGCAAATGAGCCCTAAAATTATTCGTGGTCTATTCACCCAACATTCATCATTTTTCCAATTACACACAATATGGACCATGCAATGGGCTGCCTTGTTTTGACTCAGGCACAAATATCTCCAATTAATCCAACCAAATGACTGGGCCGAGTCTTTGATTTCCTTGCAGATCTAGCCTACCTCCAACACTGAAGTCGAACGCCCAGTGATGACGTGCTCCACCGCCTATGAGTAAGTCTGTATCTCTACCGATCGGATCTGAAGATGACCTGTCACTCATTTCCATTCCGAAAGTCACAGCAAAGGCCACCGCCACGGGAGGATTCATTTCTAATTCTGCTTGAGAAACCTAGTAGTGATGAAAAGAGTTAATAGAAATAATACTTGCTTTTAAATTATGCGGTAGATATGATATTTCAAGGGGAAAATTTAATGCTTAATTAGATATATAATTAAGGTACTGAGGGAAAGTAGATGAGAAAATATTTTATTAGTTGCCACAATTATCATTACTCTTAGTGTAAGTCACGATAGATCTATATATGTTCCCTTTTATCATATTATTTACTTGCATAAATCAATAAAATACTTGCCATTGATAAAATAAAGTCCGCAGATGAAATTACACTCATGATATTTTGCAACTAATTTACTAATATGTTGCATAAATATATGAATACATAACACCACAACATATATGTTGCATATAATAGAGAATATGCAACACATAACTAATTTGGGTCGCGTATACTATCTAATACACAAGTCCAAAAGAAAGAGTATGTCAAAAAATATTTAATGTCACACTCTTTATAATGTTGCAATTCAGGGATTGCAAGAGGTTTATTTTCCCATAGTAATAGTTCAACGATAAAAAATGCTCAATATTCCAGCATCAACAATAGGGATGACATAAATAACAGTAACCGTAGATATCCTTCCAAATCCGACCTAATCGGGTAGGGTAAAATCCGAACCTTAATGACTTTTAGTGGATACGGGTAAAACCCGAACCCGAATATTGCAGGTAATGGGTGGACATGGTTTTCTCACTATCCAACCCGAATCCGCCCGATTATAACATGCATATGTATATTGTCTATGAATAATCATTAATTTTTTCTAACATATTTTATATTTAGCATATAAATATAATATTTTCATCAAGTTGTGTTGTTTTAATTAATTTTTTTCATTATAGTGATTTATTGTCGTACTTTTGCGCTTATGTAATGTTAGAATATGTGTGAATGGTAACATATTTGTTACGCTTATGTAATGTTAGAATATGTGTGAATGGTAACATATTTGTTGGAGTTATAAAGAGAATTTATTATCCATGGATAACCGTGGATACCCGAAACCCGAACGGGTATGAGCATTGTTTTGATTTTCAACCCGTTTCTTATGTGAGTAAGAGTATGGGTAAAACCCGAACTCCTTTGAATAGGGTAACGGATATGCACTATCCGCACCCGACTTGACTCGTTGTCATCCCTAATCAACGACGACAATAATACAAAGTACATACTTCTTAAACATTCTTTTTCATTATTATTAGTAGTAGTAGTCTACTACTTTTAACATTCTGATTCCTTAGCTCTCATCATGATAGTAGATACTTCATAGTACTTGTGTATAAGTTGGATTAATTATAAGTGAACAGCCCCATCCTCTCTCTTTAATTTATTCCGTCTTCAACTGCAGTTATAAAAGCGATACTCCAGCACAAGGTGGCGATCATCATCACTTTCCGCATTTGCAATCCTCTTGCCACGAAGCTTGTCGAAAGTTTCACGGTCCAATTCCAGACCCTCGCTGCTACGTTCGTCAACAATTCGCACCATCACTTCAGCTCCACTTACTCGATTTATCAACTACCACATACACCAAATCAATCAAAATAATGAGCCATGTCATTCTCTAATGAGATCTTGCGTCAATTATCCATCGTAAGATCGAAAAATATATAAATATACGTATTACCTTCATGCACTTGCCACAATAATTGGTAGCATTGCAAGTCGGCTCTGGTGCTCCCGAGGGTGAAGATGATTCAAGCTGTGGCAGCGAATTCTTTGCGCCGAAAGCAGCCAAAGCATACTTGTTACGCACAGCCAGCGGCACATTGGAGAGAGAAATCGCGCATGTCGACGATGAGTTAATATTCTTATACGTGGCATTAATATTCAGTAGGACGGCCGCAGTGCTTTGCGGCGGTCGTACATAATGGCACTGGGAGGCACAATAAGTGACACAATGGCCATAGTCGGCACCACAGTAGGCGAAACGGCTACAGCACCGTCCCTGGTTGCACGGTTGATCGACGTTACACCTGCTGCCTTCATTCTCGTCAGCACCCGATGCCGATGATGCAACTAAAAAACACAGCAACATAAATGTTACTGTACATATCGAAGCCAAGATCGCCACCATTTTTCTCCCTATATAAGGTGCAGTCGGTGATATGTTAATCTTGCATATTTTGGGTTTAGAGACGCCATGATCATGGTCCATTTATAGAGCTTCGTCATGAAATGAAACATCGGCATTCCCTATATAGGGCTAGGTAGCGCCAGCGGGTAGAGAGATGGCCGGCGGCGGAGATTACTTTGTTATAATTATATATGAAACCGTCGTTATATGAGAAGTCAACTCATTAATATTCTAGCATTTCTTTTCGATTGGATTTGTTAGACGTCATCGCTGTCATAACACAAGATTTATGAGTCGTTTCCTGATATCCCTCTAGTGTCGCTAGACATCATGATAAATTGAGATTGACGGAATATAAACAATTATTATAATTAATGTTCTCGTTATCTTGTATAATTTATATCTAGCTAAGTTCGTAGAGAACGAATAGCGGCAAGAAACTGTGACAGATCATTTGATAGTGTTTCACAGGAGGCGGCTTTTGGAGTGGTTATTACCAACTCTGAAGGGCAGATGTTCGACGGAAAGGCTGGAAGGATTCTTTGTTCTTCCCCAATTGAAGCTAAGGCGCTTGCTATCCTCGCAACTTGCCAGGTGGCAGCGGATGACCATGCCCCTTCAACGATCCTTTCTGACAGCAAGGTTTTGGTGGACGCTGTTCAAAGTGACCCTTCTTTGTGGCCTTGGCGACGTTTTGCGCCACTGACCTCTATCACCAAGATCCTGCGATGCTCTCCTTGGATCCGCCTTTCCTTTACTGGTCGCCAAAACAACAAGAAAGCCGATTGGGTTGCACGCAATTGTAGAATGAATTCCCTTCACCCGAATTGGCTTTCTGTTCTCATTGTAATATCTGACTTGTTGTAATTGTCGAGTTTCACTTGGGTTGGAATGAATGAAAGTATGATTATTCAAAAAAAGAAGGGTTTGTTTGAGGTGATTTGAGTTAAACTCCAAGCAAAAGAATTACTTGACGTATCAATTTTCATGCTGCCCTTAATTAATGCAGATTAAAGAATTGCTATTATTTTATTTATAAGAGTTCAATGTCTTAAATTATAAATATGCATTGCTTATTTTTTTTATCACATTTCATTCACAAAGTAATCTCTGTTTACTATATAACTTAACGCTCATGATGGCCTATATTCATGAAGGATATGGTAGGCTTAGATGCATGTCTGCATGAAAACTCTATTCAATTATTAAAATTTTACCGACCAATAAGTCGGTTTAAAGCTAGTGTTTCTAAACGGTCAATAAGTCGGTTTAAAGCTAGTGTTTCTAAACGGTTAATCTTGTGGATTTCAAGGTAACTGGTCAAATTTTTTTTCTTTGAAGGAGGCCAAGGCCAAGAAAAAAGAGGTTACAGAAAAAGAGCTAAGAGGCAGAGGAATGTTGCGCCACAATCCAGCGTTCGAAAGTTATGCTCATGGCATCGTCCCAAAGAATCGAGACTAAGTTCTCAGCACCCTACCTTCCAAGCGAGACCAAGGCCGTGATAAATAGCCAAGAGGTCCGCCAGTGCTGCAGTCGCCTATGTTAGCAGCAAAACCGACGATCCAATGCCCTGTCGAATCGCAGAGGGCTCCTCCAGCCCCAGCAGCTCCAAGTTTTCTGTTCGAGTCCCCATCAACATTAAGTACTAGCCAACCGTTGGGCGGGGGAGTCCACCCAATCATAGCCAAAGTACATGCGGCAGCCCCACATCTGGTACTGGAAGAGGGGGCTGGTCACGCATCATGCCACAATTTTCTCTGCCATAATCGAGTGCTCGATGGAAGGGGGAGAAAGAGCAGTACTCAATCCTATAAAGCAGATTGTGCATTTGTTCTTCCAAATGAGTCAAGTAGCTATACTGAAGAAGGCGGCCCAAGATATTTCGGAAATTAAGGTGCTCGTTGGTCCTGAGGTTCTCTCGCAGCCATCAATTTTGGTCCAAGCTGAAGAAGGAATGTTGTAAAGATTGAGGTATGTGTCGCGTCCGAAAATAGCTGGCAGAAGGGTAATCCCTAAGTATATGAATAATAGACTCCATTGGCTCCTCGCAGCGAAGACAGCTCGTGTCGGTCGTCACTTTCCTGGAAAACAGCAGAGCCTTGGTTGCAATCTTCCAAAGAAAAGTCATCCACATGAAGCTCCTAATACGTTTCGGCACTGGCAAAATTTGGATACTTTTCCATAACTTCTCGTCTGATTCTGAGGGCCCTGGTTGAGGAGAGAGTATGCTAACTTCGTTGAGAAAATTCCATCTGATGAGGCTATCCAAAAAATGGTGTCCTCTTCAATCGAAAACTTGTCAACAATGATGCTCAAGATCTTATGGAAGACCTTGGCCGAGAAGAGTTCTTCGAAAAGATCTATCCTCCAGCTTCCGTGTTCATACACGAAGTCCACCACAGCAGTCGCTTCTTGAGTCTCCTAGATGGCTCTAATTGAAACCTCGTTAAGAGGAACCAGTAAAATCCACATATCCAGCCAAAACTTAGTGCTTTTTCCATTCTTGATATTCCAGACACATCGTTTCCTAAGAAGGTTAATAATTTTCGAGAAGCTATTCCAAGTAAAAGAACTTCCTTGAATATGTCGAATGAGATCAAGGTGCTCCCGCTGCCTACCGTACTGGGAAATCATCAACTGGATCCAAAGACTGTCTTTTTCCTTGAGAAGACGCCATCCACTTTTGGCAAGCATCGCAAGGTTTTCTGGTTCGAGTGATTTTAGGCCCGCACCTCCTTGCTTCTTTGGGAGAATCAATTAATCCCAAACCACTAAATGCATCTTTGACTTATCCTCCTCGTCTCCCCGGATGAAATCCCTATTCATTTTATCAATACTTTTGCAGACCACACTAAGGATAAGCTCAATATTCATGCAGTAAGTGGGAAGGGAGGAAGAAAGTGATCTGACTACTGTTAGGCTGACAACAAGGGAGAGGAGCTTCGCTTTCCAAGGTGCAAACTTCTTTTAGATTCGGAGCAGCAGATTCTTATAATGGCTTTGAGTAACCCTCCCATGGATTGTATGAAGTACTAGGTATTTTCCTAATTCATTCTCCAAGGAGATGTCTCCTCTTCTACTAAGTGAGGTTGCCTTCTGATGGTCCACGTTCTGGGAGATGTATAGCATTGACTTGATATAATTAACCTTTTGTCAAGAAGTGAAGCATAAATTGTATAAGTTTGCTTGATGATCCGGATCTGTCTCATCTCAGACTCGGCAAAAAGCAAGAGGTCATCTGCAAAAAAGAGGTGAGTTAGAGGCGGGCCACCCTTAGACAGACGGATGGGAAATCACTCCTAGAAAAAAATGAATTTCATAAAAGAAGAAAGCTAGCTATTGGTCTAGACCGTGTTTGAAATGTATTTCCCGTTTTTAAAAGTTTTAGTCATGAGAAAATAACTGCAATATATTACTGTGTCTAATTGTAAAGGTCACGGAAAATTTGTACTGTGACTAGTTATAAATAGTCACGGTATATTTTCTCACGATAATTTGTACCTATTAGTCACAGTGAGCCCCGTGCCTAATAGCACATTTTAGCACATAAAACCGGAAAATAACACTTTTAAAGACGGGATGTACACCTTTTAACACGACATTTAGCATGGCAAAATTGTTTCTCGTAACTAGGTGTTAATCATTAATCACGTTATTCAGTTGATCCTCTGGTGTTTAGATACTAACAATTCGTCATGGTATTTCACTATAGCTAATTATATTTTTTTTTTCTTTCTTAGGGAATCACTATAGCTAATTATCAATCACAAGCCATGATAGTTTCCCATGATACATAAAATTCCATATATTAACATACAATTGGAAAAAACAACTTTCATAGCATGAAATTCTAACATTATTGTCGATACAATTAGTTCAAATACCATTTATTGATCAATTTGAATCTGCATATAATTGAAAAGACTAATTATTATAGCATGAAACTCCGACATAATGAAAATCAATTACAAATCAAATCCATCTAACTAAATCATCTAAATTTATCTTAATCTTTGGTCTATACTCCTACAATATATTATTAAGTAGTTGCAATCCTCCAATATCCATAAACTTCCAAATCTTTAAGTCTTTCTCGTCTTTACAAAACATAGTGAGAAAGTTAGAATATATATTCCAGACACATAAATTTTTCAAGAGGTATTCTTGAGTAGCTATTAAGTAAGAATACCATGACCAAGAGGAATTTTACAATGCTATATAGTATTGGTGCTATAGGTTTTTGCCTTTATGGTACAACTTAAAATTGTACATTTATGTTATGGTATAATTTCATATTGTACCTATACCGTTTGTACAAATTCTTTTATGGTACAACTTGAACTTGTACCTTTATGTGATGGTACAACTTCAAGTTGTAAAGTTGTACCATAACATAATGGTACAAATTCTTTTATGGTACAATCTAAACTTATACATTTCATGTTATGGTACAACTTTAAGTTGTACATTAAAGCACCAATACTATATAGCATAGTAGAAATGCTCCCATGACCAATTGTTTTTATGTAATGTGATGAGACCAAGAGGTAAGCATAAGCCAAATTGATTATGTTTTGAATAGATACCAAATAAAAGGCAAGAAAGAAGAGCATGCATTATTAAACAGATAACACCTTAAGCTCATATGTCAAACCATATACTCAAGACACATTCTATACCATTCGATGGAGTACATACAAACCCCTCAAGACTTGATGCATTCCATTTACTTTATTGTATCAATTGACAGACTCAAGTTTTGGAATTGGTTGATTCGTAATGAAATAAATTAGCTCTATACCACAACATACTTCGATCTTCTGAAACTGGTCGAGGAGATGATTTCAATCTCACTAATCTCCAATATGCTACAAATCAGAAAGTTACCTAAATCAGAAGCAGATAGGAACAATGATAAGAGACACTTGATATCTTATGACATGTAACATGATAGATTAAAGAAGCACAAAGGAGTAGAAACACTCCTAGCTCAAGATAAAACAGAGGATAAACACAAAATTCACATAATAAGAACACTTGTCCAACTCCAATATCATTTTTGGACACAAATAAAAACTAATGTGCAAAGAATGCTACAATAATTGTAAGACAATACTATATGTATGCACCGAAATCCATTTAGCACGTGGCCTTAAGCAAATAACAATACAATCAATCGAGTAGTTGATAAGTTCTGCAATTGATATTGTCAAATGAAATAGGCTTCCAGGTTTTGATTAATTTCCAGTAGCACCACTGAAGCTGCTAACATACTTTTGAGTTTTGCCTCGTGTTTGAATTGTCAACCACTTATCACAGGATTATGATAGAGCTATAGCAATAACATAAAGAAACACTACAGTCTCTAAATAATTATTCACATGGAGAATAAATATATAAATTTGAGTGCCAGCATGCTGCAAAATTACTCTTACCTTGACATCAACATCAAAATATCCCTTTTGTTATTAGAGTGTAAGATAACACAAAGAAAGTCGTAAGCTGCAAACTCAAGGAGGCAGCCTTCCTTATAAAGAACCTGTAACTGTGATTATAAGTAGGATATTAGAATCATGAATTGCATACAAGGCTAACTGGGTTGGTAAAGAAGCAAATTGACACTACTAACGTAGGTGTTCGAAATGTAAAACAAATGCAAAAAGTTGCATAAATAATGTTCCCTCTAGATCTCCTAAACATGCACCCTTGATGATCGGAGCATATGAGTTGGTGATTCTTATTTTGTTAGGCTCATATTGTGTTGAAGCATTTACCCGAACAAATGGGCAGCAAGGACCCTTCAAATTCTGTCATTGAGGCGTCACGTCATTTGATTGAATGAGGTTCGATCTGGTAGGAATGCTATTTCTAGACTCATCCTAAATGACTAGGATTTGAGTCTTGCACCTCGAAGGAATTCACGATCGACTAAGCAATCATTCGAATCAACCAATAACAAAATATAGGAAATCAAGCATCCCAAATATGAATAAAACAATCATTTAAACCAAAACATCGAGTTTACATTGTTAGAACCCTTAGGGTTCATATACCTATGCAACTAGGAAACTTAGCCGACCATGGGGAGGGCTTTCTGGACCTTCTACGATGGAAATGAAGACTCTAGGGCACCACAAGAATCGGCGGCCATAACAGAAAAACAAGCCAAGTGGCATCGATTTCACCGTTGACTCTCCCTCAAAGGTGGCGTCGCTCTAAATCAAAAGAGTTACTCTGCTTCATTTGGCCAATCAGAAGCCTACAATTTCGTGTAAGGGTGAGAATCGGTTTGGTTAGGTCGAAAACGAACCGAAATGGGGCATATCGGGTCCCAAAGTCCTCCAAACCCCAAACCGAACTTGAGCCGAAATATATTTCAGTTGATGAGTTCGAATGATAACATTGTATTTGTACATGTTTTTACCCCTTAATCCTTGATTGTATAGCTTGGTTTTTATCAAAATTTGGCCTATTTTACGCTAGATTGTGTTACTTTGTCACATTTCATGTCCTAGCACGTAAAGTGAAGCATAGGCGCAATATTCAAGTCAATCGGAGATCATTTGGCAAGTCGCGAGAAGAAACTCGAGCATGACCTGAGGAAGAATGGTTTATACCTCATATTATGGACAAAGAATCATGGAATCTTGCCATGAAAAGAAATATAACGAGACTACGAGCGTCTGGGATCAAACGGCGACTGATTCGGGGTCCGAATGAGGGAGAAACGAACCATTAAACAGAAGCGGATGAAGAAATACGCGAGAAATACAACCGTATTTTTCCCTCCCGTGCCCGTATTTTTAGTGCCGAGAAGAAACACGGACAGGGATAAAACACGTGCTTCAAAACACGACCGTGTTTCTGCCCCTTGCTCGGGTATAAATCTGTTTTCTGTGATCTTTTAGAAGGAGAGCTGGGTTTTGGTTCCCAAACACCCAAGGGACGAACCCTAGAGAAAGAGCAACTTGGGAACATTCTGGGAGCTATTTGGAGGATTTATTCGCCATTCGAGCTCAGGAATCAAACTTGGAGATGGAGATTGAAGATCTATATCATATTTCTGCATTCTCTCTCTTCTCTATGGAGTAACTTCCCTTCGCTTAGGTTTTGAGGAACCCTAGTTCCATGTGTTAGAATCTTTCTTGTATGAAGTTTTGGATGCTATATTGTTTGATTATAATCGATTGAGACATGATTTATTGAGTCAATTGAATCCTGATTAAATTTTCTTGATTTCTGCTTTAACCTATGATAGATAGAATCTGATTAGGTTACGAGAGCTTCCTTGATTGATAGTAGTAAATTGGTTGTGCGAGAGTCAGTCAATTCATTGTTTTGTACTGGAATTTGTTCCAAGTAGTGGAGATCTATGTTAATTGCCTAAGCATTATATCCTGGTGAAGGTTAGTCGTCTGCCGAATAGTCTGTCCAAGAGGGCTTGGTCAGCTTAAGAGATTCCAAGCTATTTTCGGATCTTCCGCAGTCTAATCAATAGTGAATCAACCAAAGGGAATTACAACTTGGAACTAATTGAGGATCTAGGGGGAATCATACCTAAATGAGTTCCCAACCTGTAATTAGTAGTTTAACCTTAGTTTAGTTAGTGGAGTAGTTTAGTAAATCAATCTTTAATTTTGTTTTCTAGATAATGAACTGAAGTTGAGTAATAGTAACTCTAGAGACCCGTGGATTTGATATCTATTACTTGTGCCACTATATTGCAGTTCTTTTATTTGGTTACACTTGGTCATTGTTAGGAGTTGTGTCGTAGCGTGTCACCGAACCAAAATATATATTGGTTTGATTCTGTAAACCCGACAAAACCGAAACTTCCTCTTCGTCCTTCCCGCAAAACCTAACCTCACAACCCACCCACCGCAACTTACGCCCCTAGTTCAGACCTCTATCTCATCGTCTCCCTCTCAACTCGACCATCTTCTACTCTCCTTCTCTCCCTGACTCCCCCAACTCGACCATCAACTCCTCTCCCTAATTCTTCTAGTCTGGACCATCATCTCTTCTACCTTTAGCAACAAGCTCGACGGGAATCGGATCTCAAAGATCGAGAGGATTGAGAACCAGAATAGGTGGTCGCCTGGTTGGAGCTTCAATCTATTGTCAGATCCAGAACCCTCGAGGCCTCCACGAGCCTCGATCTTCCCCAGCCATTTTTGTTTGTTTATTCCAGTAGGTGGTGGTGGCGCCGCCTGCATGTGATTGTCGGCGATACGATTGAAGAGAAGGAAAGAGAAGAGCAGTGGGGCACCTACTTGATCGTCAGTGAGTGGGGAGTGGCGATGGGTGCGCAGTGGGGTGGTGTGTGGATGTGTTGTAGCTGCCGTCTATCGAGAAAGTAGAGAAAAATAGAGAGTTCATTTGCTCTCTCTTTTGTTAATTAGGTATTTAGTTTTTGCGTATTAGGTAGTTGGGAGGTGGGATTAGGTATAGGGTTTGGGTTGTGGCCTGTGAGAGGAAACACGTAGTTGGGAGATGGGCTTTGGTTCGAAATTGGGAATTCTGGTTCGGTCGAGAGGACCCTGGGTTCCAAATTAAGCCTATTTCCTTTCAGAATTTTGATCCGAATACCATATAATTCGGTTCAGACGATTTCATTTATGATCGGTTTGGTTCGGAGAGTTGAACCCGAACTGGATGCCCACCCCTAATTTTGTGGCCAGCGAATGAGGATACTCCATGTAACTTCCTAAGAAAGTTGATCTCTCCCAAAAATGGTGTTGGGTCTTCGCATCCTTGCTCCAACAAGTTGGGCACGACGTCCGCTACGCCTTCCAAGTGGCCCACTAGGCTCCTCGGCCCTGAAATTGCACGAATGCTACCAAAAGCGCACCAGTCATATAAAAGCAATTCTAGGGTTGCTAGAACGCACTTGAAGCAATCATGGAAATGTACGCACTTTAGTTCACAATGCGGGGGTTTAGAATAGATACTTTCACGTATTATCGCCAACTAATTACTAAAGATACGCAAGCAAGAAAGTTAACAAAATGCTACGATGCCCCGATCTCTTAACACCAATGATGACAAATTAGATTCCATTGAAGCTTAAATAAGAATCAATAAGAAGAGCATGATCGATAGGAAGTATGACTTATCTAGTCTCATTAGTCTCGATTTACTCGACGACGGAGTCGATTTACTCTGTTGAGTGAGTTGGAGTGGCGACAGGGGCTAAGAGATAGGTGATTGTGGGAATCTAATCAACATACAATGCCCTAGTTTGATCCGTGGAGAGAGTGGAGGGCCTCTAGATAGTGGAGGTTGAGAAGATCGGTGGCATTAGCAAAGCTTCTTTTGCGGGAATTGGAAGAAGAGGGGATGGGCGAGAAGAGGCTGGAGAAAGAAAGAGAGATCGGTTTCAGGCGCATGTGTTGCATCAATCATCGCCGCCACACATTGCGACTTTGATCTTAGAGCTCATATATGTTACGGTGTGGTTGTAGCCTCAACCATTATTGATGGGATGGCGGAACCCAAGTCTCAAAGACGATGGCGGAGATCATCTGGCGGTGGTTTATCTAATGTTGTAGATCTCCTTGTCGATGATTGGGAACGCTAGTCAGAGTTGAGATGTGGAGAAATAGTTGTCGAAAATCACGAGGATTGAGAAAATTGTTGGAAGCGATGAAAGAGAGAAGAGAAGGATTTTATTTTATTTTTTATGTTAGTTTTCCCTTTTGCGCTTTCAAAATTTGTGGTTATACTAACTACGGGTGGTCATATTGGTGGTTAATCCGCGGTTTCATATCGACCCATCCGCTAATAATCCAACCGCACTGGGTGGATGATTGACGTGGGTAAATCGTGGATTAAGAATATTATATTCGTACTTATTCGGATGGGTGGTGGGTGCAATGCTGGTCACTAGAATGACTCGTAAAGTTTCACATGACAAAAAATTGTTTCTTGTTTACACTATTGAATATGATCACATCATGTTTCATAAACTCACCACACACCAACCATCGACTTCGAAAAGCAAAAAAGAAATAATTGAACTCTTGATATTGGTAACTATGATGTGTATTAGATATTGGGTTGCAAAATATAAACCGTTAATTGTATCAATATAATAAGTGCCAAATTTCTCAATTGACCGATGGAGTAATGAATATAGCTCTAGCAAAGAATTGGAATATAAACACGTAAAAAGTAGTTGTCTTTAGGAATATGTTGTTAGTGACTTTGTTTTCTTTTTCAGCAAATACTTTTTTTTTAAGTGGACAAATTGAAAGTTGGCATGATTGCTAAAAAAATTACATGTCACATGTGCTACACGAATCCAGAGTGGACTAAGTGAAGGGCGTCTAAATTGCTAGTGTCTTCTGATTTGCGAGAAATTTATTAGAAACATTAGTGAACTTGTCTAATGGCTAGTCGGAGAAATGTTTCTGCAAGTTAATCCACAATCCAACCGTTCTAAATCACAACCCACTCAAACCAATTCGAAAGAATGTTGATGGATAGCGGGTCATAATCGTATCAGCAGGAGGATCAAGCCGATATTGAAATTCATCCAACTCAATCATTGCCCAAAGCTAATACTAACCACATATAATGTTGTTATAGTATTCGGAGCCCTGAAGGAGGGTGACAAACTTGTACGGTAGAGTAAGTTTGATCTGTTGAAGAAGTGGAAAGTGTCAGAAAATGGTATAAGATTCAATATAACCTTCTCCCAATAACTCGAATTATTGGAACCAATTGTTTATAACAGAAGTAGGACAACTGGGATATCAGACTTTTTCGAACCCGTAATTGGGAACTATAGATCGGTCGATCAATCCATGAGATTTCACACACTAGTTCTTTCCATCTTACACTTCCAGACATCCCAAAGGGAAAAAAACAGACTCTTTATCCAATTTTCACATGACTCTTGTCACTTTCAAAATCATCACGGTTTGTAACTCACATTAGCCCCTTCTTTTCTTAATCCTTCACAAGAATCCCCACCATTGTAAAACTACCCCTCTCCTTTTCCCCCTCTATACTTACCATCACTCTCTAGCAAACTATCATCAGAAGAACTTAACTCCCCTGTAGAGACAGAACAGAGAATCATGGCTCTTCCACCTCACGTCGATGATCTCAAAAGACCACAACCATACCCACTAGACTCCAACGCATACAAGATCGTCGACGAGATCGGCGTCGGCGTCAGCGCCGTGGTATACAGAGCACTCTGCATCCCAATGAACTCCACCGTAGTGGCCATCAAGTCCATCAACCTCGACCAGTCACGAGCCGATTTCGACACCATCCGCCGCGAGATCAAGACGATGAGCCTCCTCTCCCACCCCAACATCCTCGAGTCCCACTGCTCCTTCACCGTGGACCGCTGCCTCTGGGTGGTGATGCCGTTCATGTCGGCGGGCTCGCTCCACTCCATCATCTCCACTGCTTTCCCCGCCGGCCTCTCCGAGCCCTGTATTGCCGTGGTGCTCAAGGAAACCCTCCGCGCCCTATCCTACCTCCACAACCAGGTAATAGTTAGTGGTGGCACTCTTGCTGACATGGTCGGACCTCTACCAGGAATTTTGGCGAAAATTCATGTTTGGTTATTACAAAAATTTTGAACTCTGTAATATCAGTAAAAGGTGTAATTGACACATTTGTTGTAATTGTAAGTAGTGGAATGATTTTTTTTTTATTATGAAATTGATAAAAGTAATATTCAAAATTAGATTAATGATCAATTTATCAATGATTATTTGGTTGTATGCATTGAAAAATATTTGAGTTGTTGAAAAACATCCTACTAAACCGACAAACAATTTTAGCGGGCATAAAACAATTGAACTCTGATTAAATGACAATTTAACCACAAAACAGTCTACTGCTAACCTTTTCGACGTAACCTTCGCTATGATTTCGCAACTTTTGGAAAACACCACCTAGCTACTGACCTTCGAGACAAAGAATAGACATACTTTTCTACATAGTTCACTCAATACTGACTTCTGTTTTGGTTCCAGGGCCACCTCCACCGCGACATCAAAGCCGGGAACATCCTCATGGACTCAGCGGGCCACGTCAAGCTGGCAGACTTCGGCGTCTCCGCTTCCGTCTACGAGCCCAACAACAACAACTGGGCCCACGGCAGTGGTGGGCTGACGGACATGGCCGGGACACCCTACTGGATGGCGCCAGAGGTGATCCACTCCCACAACGGCTACAGCTTCAAGGCCGACATTTGGTCCTTCGGCATCACCGCTCTGGAGCTCGCCTACGGCTGCCCGCCTATGTCCCACCTGCCGCCGTCCAAATCTCTCTTGATGAAGATCACCAAACGGTTCCACTTCGCCGACTTCTACGAGAAGGGTGACAAGAAGAAGAAGAAGTTGTCGAAAAGTTTCAAGGACATGGTGGCGAGTTGCCTGAATCAGGACCCTGGGAAGAGGCCGTCGGCGGATAAGCTTCTGAAGCAGTGTTCGTTTTTCAGGAACTGTAAAGGGCCAGATTTTCTGGTGAGGAATGTGCTGTGCGGGTTGCCTAGCGTGGAAAATAGGTACAAATGTCAGCCTAAGGAGGAGGAGGATCATAATAATAATGTCAAGGTTAGGAGGATCAGTGGGTGGAACTTCAATTTGGACGGGTTGAAGGTTGAACCTGTTTACCCGGCCGAGTTGGACCGGTCGACGACGAGTGACGATCATTCCGGTGGGATCAGTAGTGGCAGTGGTAGTGAGATGAGTTGGCCGGCGGCCGTGGCAGGGATCGGGGAAGATGGGGTGGATAGAGGGGCGATGGTGGGGAGCTTGGTGGTGCTGAGGAAGAGTTTGGATGATCAGAGGGAGAAGGTTGTGAATTTGATTGGGTTGTTGGGGGGAGGGGAAGTTGGCTTGTTGAGCAAGGAAGAGCAGCTGGCAGAAGCCAACGAGAGGTTGCAGCTGGAGCTGGAAAGTGAGAAGCAAAGGAGTCTGGAGTTGGAGATGGAGCTTGGGTTTCTTAAGCTCCTTGTTTCTGGCGCGTATGATGATGGTGCTCGGTAATAGCCGCTGTTGAATTTGTGGTTTCCTAGCATTTGTCCACCTGTATCAATGTATCAGAAGACTATCATTAGAATTCCCATACTCGGTTTATCATTCCACCTCCATGATCCATGATTCCTGTACAAATTAAAATGATAACAAAGTCATTCCACGATTCCTGACCTACAACAGTTGCTAAATGATGATGGCCAAGTGTGAAGACTTCCTGCATAAACCAACTTTATTTGATTTTTTGATGTGAAAGTTGTCTGTTTTAACATCATGGCCTACAAGGAGTAAAGCTTTCCAGTGGAGCAGACAGTTTCAGCTCATAAGCTGCTTGAAAACAGTCTGCAGCTTGCTGCAACGACCCTTGCTGCTTTGAGATCAACCCGAGGTCCATCCATGCCTCATGATTCGTTGGATCAAGACGCAGTGCGTTCATCAGAAAGCTTCTGGCAATTGGAATGGATTCTCCACCGAGTTTCATCAGCACCCCTGCTGTTGAGACGACGCTTGGTACATAGTCTGGTTCTATTGACAGTGACATTGAGAAAGAAACCAGGGCTTCCCTGAATAGTTCTTGAGCTTCAAACAATGTCCCTGCCCAAAAAAGTGCATCAAGATTGATGAGCTTTCACCTCATCAGCCAGTAGCCACCAATCATTCATTACAGGGTGAAAATTGACTGATACCGCTCAAAGACATCGAATAACAGGAGACCAATGAAAAATAATTAAAAATAACAGATTAGAGCCGGATCAAAAGTGTATTCCACTGGATTTGGTCTAGTCCAATTTCAATATGATCAACTTATTTTTCTTAAGGGAACCTATGAAACCAGAACAGAATAAAGCTATGTTCAATCCGGTCGATCCAGGGTCAACCGAATTGTTGCACACATTACAAATTAACAACAATCTTACCTGTTGTATGCCAACCTCTGGGAGAGAAGAATTCCATAAGCATGGACCTATCAATGCAAATCTTAGCGTCTGAGCATAGACCGAGTTTTATGTATATGGCAGCCAAGTCTTGCCATGCTGCCAGCTCCAAGTTCCTCTCTGCATTTCCCTGAAAGTGTAGAAATGTCTCCTACAATTAATGTTTCACCTTTTGTGATATGGAAATCAATAGTACTGCTGAAAAAAGAGAAAAAAGAGTACATACAGTTGCAAAGATCTGTACTTGATTATCTGCACTTTTCGCCTGTAGGTCACGCTGTCCCTGAATAAGAGATAGCAACAATCTGTATGTCTCTATTGCTTCTTTGGGTTGTTCCTGAGCAACTCGAAGAACAGCCTTCACCCTAAGAAGCTCCAACTGATCCATCCTTCCAGCTTCATCCAAACCGAACTCGACTACCATTTCAGCATCCTTAAACCGCTGATCTGCTGAAATTACATGGGCCAATAGCTTGCACCCTTTCACTGAGTTACCAGATACTGCTTCAGCATACATCATGGCATTCTGAAATGCTGCATCTTGATTCCTTTGAAGCGAGTTTTCCACTCCAAGAGCATACAACACTTCAGAATCCTCCTTCCAGGTTAGAGCTGCATGATTCAGAGAGCTCAAAGCCTCCTTCTGCAACTGATTCCTCTCTAAATAACACACAGAACTTCTTGCTGCATCTCCAAGGCAGATACCGAGTAACTTGTGAACTTGAGGTTTGAAATGTTCGCTTAGATCAATTGCTTTCTCAGCAAAAGTAATGCCTACCCGGCAGTGCATTTGGTTTAATGAACACAGTTTTGCTCCCAGAAGATAAGAACTCACATTAGGTTTGTGGTTGGACTCGGAAAACCCAGAAACTTTCTTCAACAAGTTCAAAGCAATTTCATTCTGACCAGCAGCATGATAACATAGGGCAAGAACATACCATCTCTCAGCTCTATTGTACACGCCTGGGAGAATTTGTTCCACATGTTCTGCCAATAACTCAAACTGATCTGTAATGGTGAGTGCATAAGTCAAATGATCCATGATTTCTTCATCCCATTTTATTTCACCACAGGCAACCTTACTCATGAGTAGCAATAACAGAAGGATTGCTTCTTCGGTGTTGCTTTTGGGAGTATCCGGGCCAAACAATTGCAAGTGAAGAGGAAGTTTGGTCTCAAAAGCACCGTAGAGTAGCATGGAAGCCAAGTTCTTCTGCACTTTGGCCAACCTCCAAGGTTCCAAATTCCATGGCTTGATTAAAGCTCTTCGATATGCTGCAATGGCTTCATCAAGCTGGCCTGCCCTCGTCCACAGAACGGGGAGTAACTCTAGAGCCTTGTGTAGCATTTCCTCTAGCTTAAAGTGCCTGGGAACGCCTTCAAGCATGCCATTCGGTAGGGATGATTCGACTATGTCCAAGATAACTCGGCACTCCTTTGCAGCCTCTGTTAAATCGAAAAAAATCCAAGAACTTATGAGGTTTCTAAGACTATGATGCAGCTCTAAATGCAAGTTAAAAAGGATGAAGAAGCTTTGTGATTGTGTCCATAATAAATAGTACCTCTGAAAAGTCCCATTTCCTCGAGTGACTTAGCCTTGAGCAAGGTCGCTTCCAGAAGTAGAGTGACTGAGTTCATGGACATTCCACTTGTTGATGGCGGGGGAGTTTCGCCCTTGTTGTAACGCGGCTTCCTTTGCTGGGTTCTTCCAACGATGGCCATGATCATTTTGGGTTTCAAGCCCTTGATGTCAATTCCCCGGAACACCTGAAGTGCTCCATCGAAATTCCCTTTCTGGTACTCCAGCCGTCCCAGCAATGCCCTTGCTTCCTGCAACATCGAATCACAATTTACACCAAAGAAGATCGCCAAACAGAAAATTGAAATGTGATCAAATTGGATGGCAGCAGGGGACCTCATAATTCAAGGAAAGAGCCTCTTTGAGAGTGGATTCAGCTTCATCGACTTGAACATCCTCGAGTTTGGAGCTGGACTCCCATTCGCCGGCTGTCCTGGAAGAGAGGCCGCCGGCGGAAAAATCTCTGGTGGCTAGAGAAACCGGCGACGGCGGCGCCTCCTCGAATCGAAATTGCTGCTCCCCTGAGCAAGCGCACAGCATCTCTCCCTTCTCTTCTTTTCACCCCCAGGAAAAAATATCAACCTTCTGATGGATGGGATTTCACTCAAACCCCCATTCAAAGACTGAGGTCGCAATGTAGATCAGCCTAGGAGCATGTGAATGGCGATTTCTTTCGTTTCAATGAAACAAACAAACACAAGAACAGCATTAGACGAAAAGACGGGTGAGAAAGATGGGTGGGGGAGGCGAAAAAAGGGGAAAGGAGCGAGCGAAACGAGAAGACAGAAAGAAAATAGAAAGAGAGAAAGCTATAGGACCAGAGAGAGAGAGCGAAAGTAGCTAAGGTCAGTGAGCAATGTAAAAGGGACGCAACAGAAATTGTGTTACGCAAAACGGAAATCCAAGCTTCGGGACTCACCAAAGCAAACCCAGAAGCCAGAAACGGGAAAGAATCATTGCAGCACAGCAGCAGCCATGAAAGCTACCTCCAAGCTCTCTCCCTCTCTCTTATCACTCGCTCGCTCACTAAATTCCTCCACTTAGTAGTGAGATTTTGGGGAATGGATTTGTGTTACAGAGAGTGTGATAATGACGATGCGAGGAAGAAAAGGGAAGGGCCCGGGCAAGGGAGTGGGCTTTCTTGTCGTGTAGTGCTGAGCAAAGCTCCGTTCTCTCGTCTGGTGCACTGTTATTATGGTTCCTGATTTCAGGGGTACAAAGCCCAGAATGGCAGAGTGCAAAGGACAAATAAATTTCGTCCTTTTCTTCCTGGGTTTATTATTTGGGAGGGATTCATTGGTAGAGGAATCCGAGGAAGCAGAAGAAGAAGGATGGAGATGGCGGAATTCACAGTTGATGGTGGTAATTCTACTATAATGTTGGCTTCCAGCGAGAACGTGGGAGGGGAGGGGACAATCTGGTAATGGGGGAATTAATTTACTAATCCAGACAACGTGGAGTGGGGATGGAAAGGTTAAGGAAGGGCGTAAGAAATAAATGATTATAATAATCAGTTGCTAGGGGCTAGGGAAGCGAGACGATGGCGATGGGGGTCTTTTCGCAGTTTTGACCAAACCAACATTACCGCAACCATTTTCGTCGCTGGCGCAGTTGTCTATGAGCGAATATTTGCTGGGCATTGGGCTACTAACCTCCGTTCCCCCATTTTTCAAATTGTATCCATTAATAATCTTCAGTGGCAATTGCAAACGATTCCCAATTAATATTTAAAACTTTGAAAAGAAAATCATACAAATGGAAAAATCTCGTTATCTAATTGCATGTCTGTTTTTTTTTCCTTCTTTTCATTACGATAATTTACAATATCAACAATAATCTCGTTATACAAAGATCAATGCAGTCAAAATAGTGTTTTAAAGCGTAAAATCGTACGTTTTTACCTTTTTAATTCATAAGTACGCTTCAGTTTCTACGTAAAGTCGTATTGTATGTAAAATCGTAAAAAAACGATTTTAAAATCGGATAAAACTGGTAAAATCGCGTTTCTAGATCTTTTTATACTTTTTTAGCGCAGTCGGGAAATGGCCAAAATGAGTCAAAGCGGCGCCGTTTAGAGTGTTTTAAGTTTTAACTAAAAAAAATTGGTGAACTAACTACCGTGGAGGGGAGTCATTTCGGGCAAACCCTAATTTGTTTCTCTTCTCCAACTCCACAACCGCTCGGCTCCGTCCTTCTTCCCCTTCAATCTTCGCCGACCTCCACCACTGGTCGGCGGCTGCTGCAGGAACCGGCGACCCGAATCGTCGCCGCCATCAGCTACTCCAAGCCTCCACTCGAATTGTCGCCGTCCGCTCCATCAACCATATCCTGTTGCAACCCTCGCCTTTCGGTCCTCTTACAAGTGATTCCCGCCGCCTCCAGTCTCCTGCACGCCTCTCCATTCTCCACCGCGCCACTCCCGTTGCAAGCCTCGCCCGCTCCAAGCCTCCCCACTGCCTGAATTATTAAATTGTAAGATTAAAAAGCCCTAACTCATGAGATTGGGGAGAGGTTAATTGCATATAGGGCTGCTAAACGGTACGGTAATCGGTTTACTGTTTACCATTTTACCGGTTTCGGTATTACCGAAATTCCCAAAACTGTCGCAGGACGCCGATACCGCTCTCCACCCGATATATCGCTTACCGTTGCATCACGGTTTCGGTAAGGGAACGGCATCCCGAAATTACCGACAGTGTTGTCCCTGTCCGGCTGTTTGTCCCTGTCAGTCACGCCTGTTATTCGCCTGTCCCTGACTCCCTGTCACCGCCAGACCCCATTGCGGCCAACCATTCCACAATTTCATCACCAACGCCACATGCCCACATTCCACAATGTCAAATTGTCAATAGACAATAGTCAATTAAATTGAAAATAATAAAAAAAAAACCCAATTACCCAAATGTCAATACTCAAATGTCAATAGTATTGTAAATTTTGGACACAAAGCCACAATGGTCGGCAGTCGGCTAATTAATTAAAAAAACAAAAAACAAAATCCAACAAGTAAATTCCAAACATCAAATTGAAAAATGAAGATACTAAAAATAAGATCAAAATATAATATTATAGTTGTACGTAGTACGTAGAATTCCAAATAGAGCAAATAGAGCAATCTGGTCTGCTGCTTCTAAATGTTTAAATTAAATTCGAAGACATGAAGATAAAAAAATAGAATTATTCCTCACTTGCCACTAGGACCTGTACCACCAACATCAACAAAACCTTGTTGCTTCAAAGTGGTGCGAAGCTTATCATCACCATTATCCTCCTCGTCCTGGTCCTCCTCATCCTGGTCCTACTCATCCTCGTCTGAATCTTCCTCCTCTTCCTCCTCCACCACAACAGGTAAACTTTGTTTGACACCTTCACTTGGCTTGGCAGTAGCACTCTCCATTCGAGTTTGGAAGTTAGTTGTGACTAAGTGTAAATAAATACAAATTGTTAGAATTCATCTAATAATATGTAATCAGAAACTGAGTAATGGAAAACTTAAAAATAAATGAAATTAAGAATTCTTACCACTTTCATAATCAATTTGGTCTTGATTTTCATCTTCTGTATCATCAACTTTGTCTGCTTTCTTTTCTCCTTCATACCTTATCCAATCTCCAGCACAAATCAAGGCCTCTACAATGGTGGGGCTCAACGAAGACCGAAACGGACTGAGCACTCGACCTCCACAATTGAAAGCAGCCTCTGAGGCAACAGAGGAGACTGGAACGGCTAGGATATCCTTAACCATCTGGGAAAGAATAGGATATCTAACGTTGTTCTTACTCCACCACAGCAAGATGTCAAACTTCATATCATTATCATTCTCGTTAATAGCATCATCAACATCTCTTAAGTAGATGTCTAGCTTAGAAGAACCTCGAATCCCCTTCTATAGTTGCTCCTTTCTCATCTTGAAGAATTCAGCATCAAATGTCCTTCCATAAGATGCAGATCCAGTACCATCATCAGCACTAGGAGTGGTAACAGTAGGCTCGGAGGGTTGAGGTGCATACTTCAATCTGTAAACCTCAAACATTGCAGTCATCTCTGCAGTCACATCTTTCACCAAATCGTCTCTTTTCTTCTTCCCGTAAATCTTATCCCACATCCAATACAAATAAGCCATTTTACGCCTAAGATCTAGCACACAAGCCATGTAAACCAGCCTATTTATCCTTAGGTTCTCGACCTCGTCATCATCATCATCATCATCATCATCATTCTCAAACCAATACTTTCGTACCTTTGCCTCCATTCTTGCTGTCATCCGTTGTATCTCTACATCCATGTCTTTCTTAAAAAGTTATATCACTTCATAGATGTCAGCAATAGCCTTGAAAAAATTATGAGCAGTCACATAAGATGTTCCTAATACATCCCAAAATAACAACAAATTATTCACAAATTAGTAATTAGTAATTACAAGTTAATAAAAGTAAAAACCATGAATTTTAATTGGTGGAGTTATGTTTGTTCACATACCTGATACCCGAAAGGTGAGCTCATAAAAGAACTTCTAATACTTCATTAGCCGTCGAATACCGCTCCAATCTTCCTTAGTTGGAAGACCTCTCTTTGAGTCCACATAATCCCGAAATGCAGAATCATTGGGGCTTGAATGCATGGAGTTAAAAACAAGCTCAAACCTTTCTGCAGATTCCAACATCAAATAAGTTGAGTTCCACCTAGTTGGAACATCCAAAGATACGAGTCTTCTTCCATCCATTTGTAGATATTCAATGGCAGATTTGAACTTTGCACTTCTACCTGGTGATGACTTCACCCATTTAACACAATCTCGAACCCTTTCTACAGCAACTCCAACCTTCTTCAACCCATCCGACACAACCAAATTGATTATATGTGCCACACATCGAAATTGCAAATACTTCCCACCAATCAAATCTATTCCCCACTCTTTCATCTTTGTTCTCATACGCTTTGCAAGAACATTATTAGAAGAAGCATTATCCATGGTAATGGAGAACAACTGTTGTGCTTTCCAATCTTGTAGACATTCTGCCAATTTTTCTGCAATGTCCTTCCCTGTGTGACTAGTGATGGGAACAAAGCTAAATGATCCTCTTGTGAAGCTTCCAGTATCTCCCAATGAAATGAGCAGTCAGACACATGAAATTCTGGTTGTTTTCAGAAGTCCATGTATCTTTGGTGATAGAAATTCTTCCTTTGCACTTGGATTTGAAGAACTCGGATAACAACTCTTTTTTCTCCAAAAAGATTATATAGCAATCCTGCCTTATTGTCTGTCTTCCAGGTATCACAAACAATGGTTGGGTTACCACCATAAATCTCTTAAACCCTTCATGCACAACAAAGTGAAATGGCAGCTCATCCAAGATGATCATAACAGCTAATGCAGTTCTAGCCCTTTGTTGATCAAACTTCCATGGAGTAAGAGAGCCTACCTCACCATCCCCAGGTTGATAGTTCAATAGTGATTGACCACTGGCTTCCTTCCTCTTCCTCTCACATGCCAAGTGATGGCTCTTCAAACCAAAAGTCCTATTATTGGTCGAGTGAGCTTTGATCAACGTTCCACATTGTTTGCATTTGCCATATGGGTAGTCATCCACCAGAACCTCATCATAAAGAGTCCACCATGGGGACTTCTTCTTTCTTTTTGTCACCTTCACAATTTTATTTGCCTCACCCACTTCATCTGCTCCCCTTCCCATATCAGTCACCTGTGTAGGCGTGGCAGCTGCAGGAGGTGCAGTAGCAGGTGGAGATGTAATGACACTGGTAGGTGTAGGTGTACTAGATGAGACATTCCCTCGAATCCCTTCTGCAACTCCAACACGAGCACCCACTTTTTTGGAAGTGTTTCGAGGAGGAATAGAACCACTTTTTTCGGAGCATCTCTTTTACGAGGACGAGAAGATTTCGTCCTACAACAAAAAGAAATAATGTAAAAAATTAAAGATCATAAAATTGCCAACATGTCAAAAAAGGAATAAACATTAAACCATTAAACAACTATCTTAAATCTTACATTTTTGTACTTGGTTTCTCAAGTAAATAAACTAGTACAAAACAACAAAAGTTCTTATGTTGGGCTCAGGGGCTGTGCTCGGTTCTGCCTCTATGTAAACCTGCAAAAATGAAAGCAAACTAATTATAATTATTAGTTAATAATCAAACAATTGAATTAAATTACTTGCTTTGCTTCATTAATTATTCAATGACAATTGAGTATTGACAATTATAGTATTATACAACACAATTCTTTCATCACTGTTGACCATCAAATCAACCTCTATCATGCTAATTATTCAAATTATTCGAGTAACAAATTGCTCTAATCTGATCATCCTACCTACTTTCATATATCCCATGTTTCCTTCACCACTCTAAACACAAATGCAAGTATGCAACAGAATTCCATTGTTTAATTTTGAGAATCAACTTTCATGAAAGTAAGGGATCATTGATCAACATTGAG